ACTTTGTTCAAAATAGGAATTGTTTCTCACGTTCTTAAATTCAAAAGTATTTCAATGTTGAATTTAATGCAAAAAAGTAAAACAAAACATTAAAGCCTATCCCTCCTTATTTTCAATGAAATTCAAGCCACTTCTACAGGCCACACAATATTTATAACTATAATAAAATTAATTGGGGAGTTTTGGGATCAATTTGGCAACTTTTACTGACATTTCCTTGAGATTTGGGACCGAATATTGGCCCTGAGCAGGTCTTGATAAATTCAACCAAACATGTGATGAGCGGCATTGAGACACACTCAGCCAAGACATAGCTGTGAGTTAGTTTCCAATCCAAGAACAGTCCATGCTCACCAGCCATTGTGATCAAACAATACACATATAGTTGCTCTTATTACAAACATTGCAACGAGGGACTTTGTCTTCTCCTTAATCCCACATGATACAGAGCAGTTTGGATTATCAAGTGTCTACTGTTTATTGGAAACATATTGTCTGTACATTACGGTATATTTTGTGGTAACCAGATACAAGATAACAAGCTTATTGCCTCTCTCCAACACTTGAGACAGTTGATATAATAGTAATAATGAACCACTGTGTATATAAAGTGTAACCTCGTTAGTCCGGATCTTGGTAATCTGGAACCCTTATGGATGATCTTAAATATCCCAAAAGAAACCATATTGTAGTCATGGTTACTGAATCCACAAGTGTGTTCATCTGGTAATATCACAGTACAATCCAGATTAACAAGTGAGTGAGTGAGGTTTTACACCGCTCTAATCAATATTCCAGAAATACCACGGCCGGGGACACCATAAATGGGCTTTACACATGGTACCCATGTCGGAAATCGAACCCAGGCCTTTGGCGTGACAAGCAAACACTTTGACCATTAGGCTCCCCCCACCCTGGAGATTAACGAGTGAGTGAGTGAGTATGGTTTTACGCAGCTTTTAGCAATATTCCAGCAATATCACTGGGGGGGACACCAGAAATGGGCTTCACACATTGTACCCATGTCGGGAATCAAACCCGGGTCTTTGACGGGACGAGCAAACACTTTGACCATTAGGCTACCCCTACCCTGGAGATTAACGAGGTTTCACAGTATGTTTTACAATATTATCAGTATACTTTTGTTTGTTCGTGGCTAGGGTATTGAGTACTTACCAAACTTGAGTAAAGGAGATACAGTGTACGAGAATAAGTGTGAAATAATACATTTACCAACATTGTGAGATGTAACGGTGCATGGCGAATAAGAAAGACATTAGTGTATCTTGAAGGTGAAATATATATGAAGACATATATGTTTGACACACATGAACATTTTTTTCTGATGATTTACTTGAGATGAAATGTTTTTGTATATATTTCTGAAATAATTATTTCACATAAATATGGGTGTTGGAAGTTGAGTAAGATCACATCCATTACAAATGAATATATGTATGTTTTAATATCCAATTAAATATTATATTCCACAGGCATAGAATTCAATAACCACTTGTACTAAAGAACTAAGACTGTTTCAACCCTTATAGAAGTGATGTAGGTTTGATGTTGTAATTCTGTGTTTTGTGTCCTCACATAAATAATGAATATATACCATATATAACCATGTGATTTTATCAGTTCACAATAACAGGACAGTAGCGCTTAAACAATCATAACTGCCATAGCTTAACATACAGCTGTGATTGCTACGCGAAACGCAGTCAAGATAAAAAAGGCATTAAGTTGAAAATATTGCTCGTCTGAAATATTGATTAATATGAAGTGAATATCAAAGATGTAACACACACTGTTATAGAACTATGAAATATTGCATTTTGATAGTTAAAACATTGGCTTTTGGAAAGTTCAACCATTTCATTCACATCCTGACAACACACAATCTATTAAGCAAATCCTTCTCCAAGCAAGGAAACTTCAGGGGTCTCGTCTGAGAGCATAGTGTCATTATTGAATGAAGTTTCATAAAATGACAATAACTTATTTGTCTCTCCCTTCAACAAGATGGAGTATTTCACAGGTAGAGATTCCAAATGCATTGTCCCTAAATCACAGAGATACACATATGACAAACAAAGCATCTTCATAACAGTATTGTTTAAAGAAACTTATTACAAGATGCAATTATTTCATGAAGTACAATAAAATCTACATGATATGTAAAGCACATGGAATCTACTCAAAGAGCTCTTTTAATTAGTCTATTATCTTATTAAATATTCTATTAAAAAAAGCAACTCTCTCCGAGTTACATTTACGGACCCTGTCATGAAAACGATCATACAATGCCACACTTGAACACAATGTACTCATATACGGTAATATCTTCATGACAACTGCCATACATGTCAAAGTCAGTACCACAAATACATTCTCAGCTGTTGTTTTGATGTAGAAGAAACGTCAATAAAGGAATCGTGTAAAACTTATTAACATTGCTGATTAGATCATAAATGCAAGCGTAATAATATCCGATAATACCAGGGCAGTATTGCATGATAAACTGATCTAGACACTTCTCTACCTACCTAACACTTATCTATAACACGCAAAAGTAGTTAAAGAACATACCTTCAGCAACCCATGCTTGCCGTAAAAGGTGACTATACTTATCGTAAAAGGCGACTAACGGGATCGGGTGGTCAGGCTCGCTGACTTGGTTGATAGATGTCATCGATCCAAATTGCGTGGATCGATGCTCATGATATCAATCACTGGATTGTCTGGTCTAGACTCGATTATTTACAGACCGCCATCATATAGCTGGAATATTGCTGAGTGCGGCGTTAAACAACAAACCAACCAACTAAAGAACATACCATTCCTTCATATTACTAGAATGAAGAATCAGGTGTCCTTTAACCTATGAGTAGTACATTAATTCTACTCTAGGAATATCAGCAGCAAATGTCGGAATTAGAATGATTTTCACTTGGAAATGAGTGAGTCTGGTTTAACATCACTTTGAATAGCATCCCACTCATTGTGGCTTTTCTGCTTCATGTCCAAAGTGATGCAGGTCTCGGACATTTACCACTTTGGTGAAACCCACAAGCACGGTATGGTGCTGACAAAGCTAGAAACATAATTAGGGTGATTCTGTTATTTGAACATACAAATGGTTCGGAGTGAGTGAGTTTGGTTTTACGCTGCTTTTAGCAATATTCCAGCAATATCATGGCGGGGGACACCAGAAATGGGCTTCACACATTGTACCCATGTTGGGATTCGAACCCGGGTCTTCGGCGCAAATGGTTCGAAGGAACCGAAGTCTTGTTCATGTAAGCAAACACTTTAACTACAGTGCACCCTTACCGTGGTGACAGAATTCTGTTTTACAACACAGCAATCTTAACCCATCAGTAGCTACAGGAATGAAGTCGTAACTAAATGGTAGCTCATTCCTCCTCATATTATGTACTGTGATGTTATAGACAAAAATAATGACATAAATAACATTTATGTTTTTTGTTAACAAGAGTAATGAAGGGACGTTGAAACTTCAACTGTTAGTAGAATCTAGTAAACACAAAATAAGATTGCAACCACATGATGAACTTCAGATACTTTGTAGAAAGAAATGCCATGCTATAATCCCTAATTCTGATTTACAGAATGCCTTGATAATGGCGTCTTTTGTAACGTGTGTGAAGAATATAATCGTAACATCAGTGTTCCAAAATCAATTTAAACTTGGTGAGTCAAAATAAAACTGAAGCACATTCCATTGACAAAGGAAGACAAAATAGAACCACTGAAAGAAATACATCCTCCCAAGCTCCCCTCATTACCTGTATGTACCCACAGAGAGACAACAACATTCAATGAACAAATAAAAACACAAATACACACACAACGCTCTTTGATTATGTACAGAGAGGAAGTACATCGAGATGAACTGACAAATGTATGCAATAAAAGTCTCCCACACAGCATGAACACAGCCTCATACTTAGCATCTTGGCTCATCATCATCATCATCATCATCATCATCACAACCATCATCACCATCATCAGTCAAAATTCATCATCATCATCATAAAAATAAAAAAATAATTAGGCCATTAATATTTGGCATATTTCCACACCACACAAGGGCATATTTGTAGGAATTGAAGCTAAGCGACTCCAAGTCAATGGTGATCTTTGATACAAACCAGAGAACATGTGATGAAAATCTGACACCTTGCCCGCCTGACCAATTTGAGTGAGTGTACATAGTTTTATGCAAGTAACACAGATTTCAACAGTATTTCAGTCATTCTAGCCATGTGAGCTACTCTGGGATCAAAGCCCAAAGTGAAATTCATGAGCAGTGATATGGTGCTGACAAACCAAGCATAATAGTATGCGTTAGGGATTCGAACTCATGGATCCTGACAACTAAGGGAGACAACTCTGTACAGTCAATTGCAGGACCTTAAACTGCAGAACCACCTGTGCCATCAGGTATGAGCATGAAAACACAGGAAAATCTATAACTCAATATGGGAAGGCATGGTAGAATATGATTAAAAATCTGCCTTCAACTCACCATCTTCCCGAGGCAAGAGAGTTAACTGACTTTAAAAGTCCAGTTTCCACCCTTGCCGAACAAGGCTAGAATAACTGGGCTCGATCGTAGCGCCACCAGTGGCTATTACTAATCATGTCCCTTCTAAGCCTCTCCTATGGACCAATCAGATTCCACCTGTCGTATCACTTGCGTTTGTTTCACTCAAAATGGTGGCGCCCAGTCAGGACGATCTGATCGATAATCGAGATCTTTATTGTGATAAAACGGGTCTTACATCACGAAATGCATTGAATCACGTCAGCGCCTTGATTAAAAACATGAAAAGATTTGGAAAATATCTGCTGATAACAAGTTAGCGGTGCACATGCTTTGCAAATCCTGCAATCGACCGAAATCTGCACGACAGTTTACGAACCGGATTTCGATTTCGGTGCGTGATTTTTATTGGACTATGCATAGACTCATTAGTCCATCCAAAACGTAACTCCATAATACCAGCCTAGTTCGGCAAGGGTGGAAACTGGACTTTTATATCCAGTTAACTCTTTTGCCTCGGGAAGATGTCAACTCACACATTAACGCTTCAACTAATACCAGTTGTGCAACAAGAGAGGAAGTCAGTGTTGGAATCATTTTTGTTAGGCCTTGTTACTTTCCATCCATCTGAAGGATTTATCCCATTACAGTCATCGCGTCACTGTTTAGTCACATCAATTATTTACACATAAAATGGAGACCTACAATGTACAAAATACTTGTCCATGGCAAGGAAAATGAAAACCGCTAAGATCAGTTTCAAAGTAAACATGTTAGTTTGACACTATTATCCACACAATGACGTGGGAAACAAACCTAAACATATCACAAGCTGACACACGGCCCGCTGGGCTATCTAACACACACTTTCATCTTACTACACTCCCTTGTGTCTGTACATACATACACACAACAGGGCTGTCACTGTTTGGAAATTTGAGTATCCTCATATATATCAATTAATGCTGCATACTATTACAGACAATTTTTCAAAATATATGATGAAATTCAGTCTTGTGAAGGAGCTGTGCGGCACTTTATACTCAAACTAGTGACAAGGTGTCAATGTTAATCTTAAGGTGCATGCGTTTTGATCCGCACTGTTGTACATTGTGTATCACTTGAATACATTATCGGAGACTTATCCTTTTAAGCCCTTACAGAAAACAGAAAACCTGTATCAATTTTCTCATATATATTTATCTAGCTAGCTATTTCATTTAGATACTAGCTTCTCATTGGCTAAGGAGAATGGTTGACAACTAATATATACTGATGTTTCAATGCCCAATGGCAGCCCTAGTGTGCATATACATATACACATGTATACATACTAAACTCACTGTTGTACACGTCATTCTGTGTATACATAAATACAATCCAATAGTATTTGTTAAATAAATTACAGAATTGTACAATTATTTTGATATACACATGTATATGAAACAGAAACTGTCCGTCTGCTCATCCATGAACTGGAATGTTCCATGTATTTGAGGGGTGTAAGGTTGTACAGATCCACAGGAATATTCCATATATCCGAGGGGTGTAAGGTTGGTTGTACAGACTCGCAACCTAACAAGAATAATCCATAAATCTTCGGGGTGTCATGCTGTACACATCCAAGACCTTATAAGGATTATTTCATGTATCCCAATTAAGGAAGTCATGATGTTATTACGATGCTAAGACGATGGAGCATTCCACTTTCTGAAAGCCTTGACACCGTGGTCCCGCCACTCATCTCGAGATATACACATGTGTTCAAACTCCGCCATCCCAGCCACTGCACACGCTCCTACATAAGCCGCATGGTAACGCTGAGGTGCCGCGTGGACCTGTCAACGAGATAAGGAGACATAGAAACATGTCCTGAAGGACAAAATCAAAATAAATTTTAATCAAAGACACTTGTATAGATTGTAAGTAGTCTGTACCACAGTACCGAACCGCATTATGTTCCCTTTCGCCCATCATTGTGCTACGATTGCCCAAAATAAAGCAAGTCTAGATTTTCCTCAGGTTCTGAATCACTCATCTTACTGGGGCTCCTTTTCAATTTAAATGCAGTTGTTTGTGTTAAAATGCAGTTGTTTGTGTTAAAATGCAGTTGTTTGTGTTTAAATGCAGTTGTTTGTGTTAAAATGCAGTTGTTTGTGTTTAAATGCAGTTGTTTGTGTTAAAATGCAGTTGTTTGTGTTTAAATGCAGTTGTTTGTGTTTAAATGCAGTTGAAACTAAACATTAGTCCAGACTGTAAGCAAAAGGAAAATGTAGATATAGGTCAAAGGGAGACAACTCTTCAGGGAGTACTCAGATTTAGCTAACATTGGTACATGAGGTCAAGATGACGTTGAGGCTACACGACCCACCTCTACGGGAACACTAGGTGGCGCTAGTTTCATCAGCTCGTGTTGAAGTCTGTCCACAAATCCTGGCATCATTGTGACTCCACCACTCAGGTAGACAGCCCTGAAATAACAACACGAAGTAGTGCCCAGTGAACAAGGTATTTTCTCCTTAACTCCCGACACAACACACTGTACAGAACCAGGACACATTCCACCATCAGTGGCAGGGAAGTCTGGGGGTGCAAATAGATACCTGAAACATGTCCCCACATAGATACATTCCTGTCCAGCCTGGGTGTCATGGGCAGGAAATTGTTGGAACATTGCTGGCAGTGGAGTGAATCTAACACTCTCACAATAACAAATGCTTTCAGGTGGCCTGTGTACGTCAGTGGACAGTGGTCAACTCACCTGAACAATTACCTGTCACTGTCCATCAACTCACCTGAACATGCACCTGCGACTGTCCATCAACTCACCTGAACATGTACCTGCGACTGTCCAACTCACCTGAACATGCGCCTGTAACAGTCCATCAACTCACCTGAATATTCACCTGTAACAGTCCATCACCTCACCTGAACATGCACCTACGACTGTCCATCACCTCACCTGAACATGCACCTGCGACTGTCCATCAACTCACCTGAACATGCGCCTGCGACTGTCCATCAACTCACCTGAACATGCGCCTGCGACTGTCCATGGGACACGCCTGGATGGCCTGGAACACCAGCTTGTGGAGATTGGGGAAGTCCATCTCCCACATGTCTGTGTCAAACAGCCCCTCCGGACTCCGGAACCGACTCTCGTCATGGGTCACACTCCTTGTGAACAGGAAACAAAGATTTGTTAGTTGACGTAATCCACATTTCACATTTGTCAGAACAACTGTTCCAGTGTTCCAAGGGGAAAGCACTCCGGAGTTGTGTAAAATAGTGTAACAAATCTCGAGTGCAACAAATATATACAATAAATGACTGCTGTCTGTAAATTATCGAGTCTGGACCAGACAATCCAGTGATTGACATCATGCTCTTCAATCCATGTAAAAGGGATTCAATGACATGCATCAACCAAGTCAGCGAGCCTGACCACCCCATCCCGCTAGTCGCATCTTAATATGACAACAAAAGTCACCTTTTACGTCAAGCAGGGATTGCTGAAGACCTTTTCTAACCTGGATCTTCATGGGCATAGATCTATAGTTACATACATGGTTTCAGTAGTATAACTCAGGAATAGATAGAATATAACAGTTATATGATAAACTAAATCTGTCAAGAAAAGCTGCAGGCAAATCTCTGCAGCTGCAAAGTAAACATGTTTTCTTATGAGTAGCCTCAAATCATGACTGACTGAGTGAGTGAGTTGGGTTTTACACCACCTTTTTTGCAATATTCAAGCAATATCATGGTGGGGGACACAGGAAATGGGCTTCACACATTGTACCCATGTGGGGAATCGGTGTGACGAGTGAACATTTTAACCACTGGACTACCCCACTGACCATTTCAATCATGAGGAATTTTGATGACAAGTTGGCAAAAACTTTTTTCAATCAGCTGATTTTTCTCACTTGTAAGCTTCTGGTGGCAGGTTGAAGTTGTCGAGGCTGACGGTGGACTTGATGGAGTCTGGGGACATCTTGCAGCGCTGGACCTCCTCTTTGTAGTTCTGGGGCACATAGCAGCTCTGGGGGCACAAGGCAAGAAGATATATACATGGTGTAGGACATTGAAAATAATCTGAATGCACATTTCAATAAATGGTCCTGTTTTCAATCAAGTAAGGTTGAGGATATTAGGATTAATACTCCTGAATGAGAAATCAACTGAACAACATCAAGCGGTCTGTTCGAAAATAAGAATATTTATCCTTCCCATTTTTTTCCAAAATTTGGCATGTTATTGCTTTGAGACCGAACTCATCTCCATCTCGTCTGACCTTGACCTACCTTCTCCATCACGTATCTGACGAGGAGCTTCTCTACTGACGAGGAGAACTTGTAGTTGTCAGCCAGGAGGGAGAGCAGCAATGTGTCCTGAACCTTCTGGGCTCCGTACGGGAGGCGGGCCATCCCACCCTCGATGACAAAACCTGGGAGACAGGTCAAGCATTATCAACCATTGCTATATCTACAACTGTTATCAACCACTGATATATACCATTTTCAACCATTGTTATCAACCATTGTTATCTGCAACTGTTATCAACCATTGATGTATACCATTTTCAACCATTGTTATCAACCATTGATATCTATCATTTTCAACCATTGTTATCTGCAACTGTTATAAACCATTATCAACCATTGTTATCAACCATTGATATCTATCATTTTCAACCATTGTTATCTGCAACTGTTATAAACCATTTTCAACCATTGTTATCAACCATTGTTATCCATTACTATTATCAACCATTGTTATCAACCATTGATATTTACCATGGATACCTACCATTATCAACCATTGTTACCAACCTTTATTAACCATTGGTATCAGCAATGTTCTCTGTGACTGTTAACTATGATTATTATAAACAATTGTTATCTACCATTGTTATGAAACATTGTTATTAACATAACCCGTGAATGCATGGCTGAATTATGTCATTATCAATGCGGTATAATCAAAGAGAGACAATAGTGAGTGAGTGAGTTGGGTTTCACGCCGCTTTTAACAGTATTCCAGTTATATCACGGCGTGTCAGCTTAATGTAGGAGGAAAGCCCGAAGTGATGCAGGTTTCAGACGTTTACCACTTCGGTGAAACCAACGAGCACAGGTATGGTGCTGACAAACCTAGAAACATAATCGGGGCGAACCAGCATTCGAACCCACAATCATAGGTTTCTGGCGTGCCCAAGGGACGCCAACTCTGCACAGCGAATCGCCGCGCCTAAGACGACTGGACCACCCGTACCCCCAAGAGAGACAATAACTGCTTTCATGTACTACATACTTCAGCTTTACAGGCAATAAGGTTTCAGAAGAGATGTTGCAGAAATTCATGGAAAAAATGTAAAAGTGCCAGAACATGTGTGCAGGAACCTTTTAGTGAACTGAAGAGAGAATCATACTGGTAGTTACGTCAGTGAACCAGGGGACTTAACTCTGCAAGGCACACATCTAATGTCTTCGTTTATTAATTTAATTTATCTGTAGGAACTTGACACAAGCCTTCAATAATGACCTGATACCAGAAACGGAAGTATTTGGTTCATGAACTTTACCATCGAATATGGGCAAGATCTCGATCCTCTCCCCGATGTCGACGATGATGCCGGACGTGGCGTTGTAGGAGTAGAGGGAGAGAAGTGACTGCTGCACCATGCACACCCCTGCCACCTGGTGGCGAGACATCAGCAGCTCCATCAGACTCTTCCGCAGGTTGTCCCCAAGACTCTGGGGGGTGCTGATCATCACCTGCACATACAATATGAGTCAGTGAGTAGGTGGGTGGATGGATGTGAGAATTAAAGGACGGGAAGATTGATGGATTGATCGATGGGAGGTTGGAAGGATTGGAGGATGGATGGTGGATGGGAGGATTGAAGGACGGGAAGATTGATGGATTGATCGATGGGAGGTTGGAAGGATTGGAGGATGGATGGTGGATGGGAGGATTGAAGGACAGAAAGATTGATAGATTGATCGATGGGAGGTTGGAAGGATGGGAGGATGGATGGGTGGATGGGAGGATTGAAGGACAGAAAGATTGATGGATTGATTGATGGGAGGTTGGAAGGATGGGAGGATGGATGGGTGGATTGAAGGATGGGAAGATTGATGGATTGATCGATGGGAGGTTGGAAGGATGGGAGGATGGATGGGTGGATGGGAGGATTGAAGGACGGGAAGATTGATGGATTGATCGATGGGAGGTTGGAAGGATGGGAGGATGGATGGTGGATGGGAGGATTGAAGGACGGGAAGATTGATGGTTTGATCGATGGGAGGTTGGAAGGATGGGAGGATGGATGGGTGGATGGGAGGATTGAAGGACGGGAAGATTGATGGATTGATCGATGGGAGGTGAAGGATGGGAGGATGGATGGGTGGATGGGAGGATTGAAGGCGGGAAGATTGATGGATTGATCGATGGGAGGTTGGAAGGATGGGAGGATGGATGGGTGGATGGGAGGATTGAAGGACGGGAAGATTGATGGATTGATCGATGGGAGGTTGGAAGGATGGGAGGATGGATGGGAGGATGGGTGGGTGGATGGGAGGATTAAAGGACGGGAAGATTGATGGATTGATGGTTTGATCGATGGGAGGTTAGAAGGATGGGAGGATGGATTGATGAGATAATTGATGAATGGGAGGATAGAAGGATCGATGAGTTGATGGATGATGGATGATGGATGGATGTCTGGAAGATAAATGATTTGGTGGATGGAAGGATGGGGGTATGGATGGATTGAACAATTGTAAGATTGATGGATGGGTGGATGGGTGATTGATGGATGGGAGGATTGATGGATGGGTGGATGGGAGGATGGGCGAGTGCCCAGTACATGAAGCATCAGTTACACTTGGGTGGCTCAGAGGTCTAGGGTGCTGCAACTCACTGTCCCACATCAGTCGACTTGTTCCATCTGGCACACCTCATGAGCAGCCGTGAAGCACAGAGGATCTGGTCTGCCCAACATGGCTGCCACAGCGGCCATATTGAAAATCAGATTCCAACCTCTTGAACAAACTGGGTTGTCATGACTGGTGGCAGACAACAAGCATGTCGACTTTCTCATGACAAACTGTTCATGACAAATACCTCATTTCACTATAAGTCAGTTGAGCTTCCAAATGGAACATGTGCTGATTGTCTTTGTCATCAGGTACTTGGGGACAATAAAAAGATGTGTTTGGTACTGATAGGGATGAAAATCTAATAACTATGTTATTATGGCCTAGAGCCAAATAACTTTAACCAGATTTCCAGCACATTTCATTGCCGATGCCACGTTGTCTTGTCCACCTCACGCATTATGTAAATTACTCTCTGCATCACACAGCAGAAAAACACAACAAAACCAAGAACACAAATGTTGTATTGGACCCAGCATGTTTAATTATTTATCAGAACCTCTCAGAAAAAATATTCCCCTCAAAGGAATAGCATGATTAAATTGAGAAATTACACTTGCTTGAAGGTCAACATGACACATGATCAAGAAGGATTTTGAAAGCCTTTGACCTTGTCTCTAAAGTGATTTTAACGCTTGTAATATTTATAGTCAGAGTGGGGCTTTAAGTTATAGGAATGTTTAACGCTAAGATAATTGTGACAATCAGTCTTGTGATAATAACAGGAAAGTACAAAAAGAATTGTGGTGGCTCGTGGTGCCATGCACAGGTCACAGGTCACAGGTCACAGGTCACAGTTTCTAGGGTTTCAGTCCCGGAGAAACACGTGGTATATGCGCTGTAACTTTGTTTGAAAGATGTCACTGTTCACAAAACAAAGGGTACCCTTGACAGATCAAACAAAAGGCAGCAAAGAGGGTTTGGGTGATCCTGGCACAGTCAGGCTGGTTAGGCTCATCATCAGCTCAGGGCCCTTGCCCCCTCTACATACAGACCAGGCAGCGAATGGGACTTCTCGCAGGAAGCGCTGCCTGATCGAAACCCTCCCAGAACTCTTCTACATATTCTGGGTTGTACCATGGATGGACCTCTGTGTCAAAACCACAACCACAGCGAAGATGTTAATAAAAGGATCAAGCCACGCCATAATGTCGCTTAAGAAAATGTGTTTGTGCCAAAGATGGGCATCCACTGACAATGTGTTGGACAGTCTCATTAAATTTAATTATGATGATTTTTATTACAATCGCCTCACCATATACTGCGAGGGGTTGACCCCCAGGTCTCTGAAAATCTTATCGAACACAGCTGGCATCTGCTTGCTGTCGATGTTAAACTGAAATAATAACCAAAATCTGAATACATGTATCCACATAAAAAAAAATCAAAATATTTTTGTTGGTAATTTTTAAAAAACGTTTACAAATTACCTTTAAAATATGTATGCCACAATATCAGGTATAATTATCAACATTTACATGTAATATAACATTGATTATGATGATACATAGTTACATAGTGAGACATTCACTGAAGAAGCAAACACCCCTCCCAACAAGGAGTGATGCAGCGATGAAGCTATGCCAAATAAGGAGCATGAATATATAGCATGAATATATGACGGAAGCAAGGCATGCCACTTCAATGATATGGAAATATAATGAAATTAATGTAAAATGATATGACAAGGTTGAGCGGAAGATCTTCGAACTTATATATTGATGATTTGAAGAAATTGACAGAGAATAATCTCCACCACACTTGCGCCATACGGAAATAACAATGCTTACATTACACTCATGGCAGAAAATACCTGTATTCCTGGAGTGGGTTTTATGTCATTTCTGAGCATCACAGCATCTACATCCTAAAGGAAGAACCATCGAAGGTAGGGCTGGGACGGGTAACTCAGGTACTTGGGTCCGGTGGGTCCTGAGTAGGACCCGGGTACCCACAGGACTACCTAGACCCGTGGTTAGACACGTGATATATTGTTTAATGACAATGGTTACTCTACAAGTATAGCTTATGGTCCCATTTCTTTCTCACTACGCAAGCATTCGGTCTGACTTTTATATGTTCAAGTAAAGATAAAGCGTCTATCAACTTCAGTGTACGCATGATCAAATTGTTTTATACATGTGTCTAAATAATTTTTGCCAGGGCTGTGGTAAAACAATTCCCATTCGGACATTTTGATCCTAATTCTTGAAACCTATAAGTGGTACCCGGGTAGGGACGGGTAATAGGGTGTCGGATACCCAAGTAGTAAATTTGGACTTGTCCCAGCCCTAATCGAAGGAATATTTGTATTCTGTAGGGGTTTTCTTCTCTCAAAATTGAAATGTCTGATTCAAGGTTATAACAAAATGAAGACAAATTAGTTTAGAAAGCTGACATCCGATTGGCTTAAGGACCATGAGTCCTTCATTTAGGCTGGCCAAGTTTGCATGGTTTCATCAGCTGCGACCTGTGAAAGGGGGTCGTGAGATCATCAGTCAGAGAGATATCGTATCGGAGCTGAGGATTTTAATGATATCGTTCATGACGCCAGGTATATAATCTGCCAGGAGGTAACCGAAGCTACTGCCTGCTCAAAGAGGTGACGGAGGTGTTCTGGTGTGAAATAATGAGAAAAGTCTTATCATTGCACGGCGCCGAGAGCCTGCATGTCATGCAACTTACAGGGAGAATACAGTGATCCTAGAAAGAAAACACAGAAACAAACAAGTCAACAACAAGAACACTCAGAAACAAACAGCTACAACACTACACATTGCCTTGTCTTCGGTACCCACATCACTGATGAGGCTAGACCATTATAACTTCCTGCTTACTTCAATAAAAAAATGATTTTCAAAGTGTTTGATACATGTGACCCACCAGGACAAAAGGGACATTATGGGTGCTGAGATGCAGTTGTGCCGACGTCATAAAGAAAGATGTCTGACGTCACCTTACTTCCGTATAAATTGCCATATGTGCGAACTACACAAAAATATCTTGTTTTTCTCTCATTTGTTCTTAATGTTGATTCATTGTTTAACACAGCACTCAGCAATATTCCAGCTATATGACGGCGGTCTGTAAATAATCGAGTCTGGACCAGACAATCCAGTGATGGACATCATGAGCATCGATCCATGCAATTGCGATACGATGACATGCATCAACCAAGTCAGCAAGCCGGACCACCCGATCCCGTTAGTCGCCTTTTACGACAAGCATAGTCGCCTTTTACGGCAGGCATGGGTTGCTGAAGACCTAACATACCCCGGATCGTCACGGATCAGTTCTTAATGTAATAAAAACAGTATTTCAAAACATGGCAGCATACATGTCTTCTTTCAATTCATCAGACATTACTGATACATCTCAAAACAGCAATCATGATAAAAACAATTATAAGTCCGAAAACGGAACTTCACAGACAATGAGTCCAAATGGTTGATGCCATGCATCTCTGTAATAAATATTGACTGTAGCATATGAATTGTTTTTGTTTTTTCGTGGTACTAAGATGCTGTAGTTCTGCAATAAAATAAGAAGTCAAAATGTCATGTTTTACACCCATAAGGTCCCTTATGTCAAGGTTGGTCACATATGCTGTTTTTTAAACAAATACTTCCTTGTAATCTATATTTCAAAATTTTTGAGGGGGAGAAATTAATCCCAAATCAACCATGACAACATCTTTTAAATTTTGAATGACAAAGACAATTTGGAAAACAAGAAATTAAACTGGTCTGGCCCAAACAATATAAATAGATATCAATTATGACCTGATAATGAATGTTACAATGTATTAACATCGGAACTGTTCTTAGTCCTTCATCATCAATTTATTATACTCATTATCTCAAAATATTATTTTTTTTATATAAAACATACATGTTTCTATATATTAATCTGATTGAACAAATGCACATAACATATGAATTAAATGTTTCAACTTAATACATGTTTATTCTATAAGCAATAATCAACATTCTTTTAATCCAACTTGATAGATGTTAGTGCATTATTCCCCTTTTTCCCATTTTGTGAATTATCCTAACTTGTGCTTGAGAAGAAGAATTTGTGCTTTTCACCTGTTTTCCATATTATAAAATTAAAATCCAATGCAGAAATATTATATTACTAAGTGTGTTCAAGACAAGACAATGACCATGTTATACTCAGAGGTAAAACCTGAAGCATTATAATCTTTCATTGGTTAAACTTTCAAAAAGACTCTTATAAGAAAAAACAAAACAGTCTTGATCAATGGAACAGATTATGACAGTCTGTCAAACTGTAACATGAATCTGTTGTACATGAACCATTTTAATGAATTTCAGTTTTAAAATAAACCAATTTATAATTTTTATAATTTTTGTTTCTTTAAAGATATTCAAGAGTTTTATGCATATTTCTCAAATGAAGTTAAAGAATACCAGATTGTTTCATATGACTATAGTTAATCATGTGATGACAGAGTAGCTATAGTCACATGGAAAAAACCGAGTGTTTTTTAACTTCTTTATATTCATAATGCCACATTTCAGATTCTACCTCAGTGATAAATATGTGAAAAACTATAAATAAGATTGAAAACTTTGCAACAACAGATCATGCAAATGAAATGAAAAATAATGGTGCAACTTGTGTTGATGTAGAGTAATTGTTTTTTTATGATGAGGACAATACAAATGCAGGTGTAGAATTAAATACCAAACTGCATGTTATTATCGATAAAGCGTGATGAATATGAGGAATGCAGTATATGAATAACATAGCCTTCTGGGTGATATTAGTATATCCTGTGATATATATCCTAAATGCTAAATATATTAGTGCTAAATGCAGGCACCTTTAGTACAGCGGCATTATTGCTGGCCAATTACACAAGTTCTCAGATATAAGCCTGTATCCAACATACAATTATCTAATGGAGAACACATAACGAACTACGAGGTAGGGTAGGATCCAAGTAGCTGATGACCATCACAAAAGCCAAGTAAAAAAGAGATCTGGTGGGTCGTCATACCCTGATAAAGTCTTTTGTTGCTCATGCTATCAATCACTGGTTTACCTGACTCAGGTATGATCATTTACATGATGCTATTATAGGTACAATATTGCTGACTGGTGTAAAATAACATTCACTCACTAACTCAAAAGGCTATTAATTTTTCTCTAACAACCATTACCTAAACCCACTGGGCTTACTTCCGAGATAGTTCACAATTCAGGATGTGCAGTTAGTATATTGGCCCATTGTTAGTTCATAAATAGATATCATATATTGCATTTAATGTTTTTATCTTATTGTATACTGTATTTAACATTGCATCAAATAAATAAAAAATGATTTTCATTTTAATGTATCTTTTTTTCATATAGATGTCACATCTATGACTTACAAATTAGACAGGGATATAAAAAAAAGAAAAAAAAGAAAAGAAAAAAGATAAGAAGGATAAAGTCCAAACTATTTTGGTGCAAAGAGAAATCTTAATCCTTCACCACAGCTGTTGCCTGACTGTGCAACAACACTACTGTTGACATCTAGACCCGCCCCTCCCTGCCCCGCCCTGCCCCTCCCAACTAGCCTCCTAAATGACCACACCCACTACCCACACCCACCTTGTCTACTTTGTTGGAAGGGCTGATGGGGTGAGAGAGGACGGACTCGAGTCGGACACTCGGCTTGTAGGCGTCACTTCCAACAACCAGCTCATCGGTTGTTTTGTGGACTGCAACAACACTTGGGAAGAACAACGCTGGCATGGTTGCTGGTGAAGAGAAACAGGAACTCATTTTCCATGGGAAAAATTTGAGGAAATTAAAATCAATGGTTTTTAGTCTGTTGGTGGAATTGTAAATACAGAAATCAAATACATAAATATATTACTTTGCTGTCATCTGAAGTCAGTAATAAAACCTGTTAAGCACAACGATATCAACTTGTGTTTAAAGTGGGGCTGTCAGTGTGAATAAATGTTAACATCAAACTATACTTCCTACAACACACATGCTAATAATTATAATACTCACAACAACTTAAAGAACCCCCGATTTTTATATTTTATGATATTTACGACTCGAAAACACACATGGGTTAACGTCTTTATCACATATCCTTAAAATAATGAATGTTTAATATGTAATTTTACTGAATAAATTTTTATATTTTATGATATTTACGACTCGAAAACACACATGGGTTAACGTCTTTATCACATATCCTTAAAATAATGAATGTTTAATATGTAATTACACTGAATAAAAGTAAACCACCCAATTTTAACCATATGGTGCCCAATGACTTGCAGCCATGTTATGATATTTTGATAGTTATAATATATATTTACAATAAGAAAACACACACGACTAATAATATCTCGAACTAGCAGTTTGGTGTGTTAAACAGCTTCACAGTGCATATTCATTTGAAGTTTAAGAAATGTAGAGAATTGAAGAAAGATGTATGAGTTATCTCCCCTGGTATGCTGGGCCGAGTTCCTGCTGGTGAAGTTGGTCATCTATTGTCACTGCAACATTTATCATCTTCAAACAATGTGCATAAATAGTTTTTGGATAAAGAACATAAATAAATAACATGAATTATGAATGTATACCAACCTTGATCACCAAGTATGCCTGCTCGCACTGATGTGCTGCCAAGATCGATGATCACAACATTCTGTCAACAAATACAAGATAGAAATGGGATTAAAGAAATGAAGAAATCAAGTTAAATGACACCAGTGATACAGACATTACTCCAACCAGATTGTTTGAAAGATCAACCTTTCATTTAAGAATTCAAAATACTTCCTGTTTATGGATTTACACAAACTGTGCACGGTTTTTATATTCATATCCCCATAATTGCAATAACATACTGAATTAATTAATTAATAATGCACAACAATGAACCCAAGCCTCAGCCATTTCATTATCACCCAATCAAGAAACAGTATTCCGTTAGTGGGTGTGGCCTACCTAATTTGTTTTTGGTTTATCCATTAGCCAATCAACTGCCAGGGAATCACTTGCAAATTATTTCATTTTCATTTTAAAATGACACTTTAATTTGCATGCAATTCTTTATTTACAAACACAACAAAGATCTTATCTCAATTATGGAATAGCAAAGAAATAAACTTCAGCATGTATACACAATGCCTCATCCTCATTAAAACTGGATAAGCGACTACAACTTTTAACATTCAGCTTTTACACAAGAATTCCAGAATTATTATGTTTGTTTGTTTAACGCTGCACTCAGCAATATTCAAGCTATATGACAGCACTCTGTAAATAATCGAGTCTTGACTAGACAATCCAGTGATTGACATCATGAGCATCGATCGACGCAATTGGGAAACGATGACATGCATCAACCAAGTCAGTGAGCCTGACCACCTGATCCCGTTAGTCGCCTCTTATGACAAGCATGGGCTGCTGAAGATGAATTCCAAAGCAGATCTTCAGAATTCCAGAGAGAATAGATGCAAGGCTGAAGGAGACAAACTCCTCTATGAACAAGCAGGATCTCTCCATGCCTAAAGGTTCTGTAGCAGGGGAACAAACACTATATACTACGGGGAAATATTGCACAAGTTCATATTGCTTAAACATGCTACACACAGAACTGGTACATTTTCAAGGTAAAGATCATGCACACTTTTCAAGACTAAAAGTAAGAGTGAAATCCAGGGCCTTTTCGTGCCTATGCAAACCTTGCTAAAAAACAGAGTATATCGACTTTGTCGCCAGTCGTATTTCTTGATGACCATGCACAATTTCACAAAATTAACAAAAACTTGAAGTGCTAAATTACTTACAGCATACCAAGCTTACAGATATCCGGACCCAATTGCACAAAGCAATCTTAGCGCTAAGACTATCTTAAGCCTATGTTAAAGAATGGGAGGAACGATGATCTTAGGGCTAAGATCGCTTTGTGCAAGTGGGTCCTGGTCACCACATTGTACAGACATATATGTGTGCATATATAAAAGATGGTCCAAGCAAATGACTTTCAAGTCATAAAACAATCAGTGTCATCAAATCACTTTTCTTTCAAATTTACATTTGGCATAAGTCCACACAGATTTTAACAATGTTCAATTAAAAGTTACCTATTTTCCTAAATTATTCAAGGCTCCAGATGTCTCATTTCACAGCCATTCCAAGTTGTTTCCAAATACCCCGAAATTCATTCAATTTTCAAGCTTGTGCAACAACATTCAATGAAAACCTGCCCACATGCACTGCATCATTATCAACTAAGCAGCACGCTTGGGACCACATGCCAGCAAGTTTGGGACCATGATGCCAGCAAGCATGGGACCACATGCCAGCAAGCTTGGGACCATATGCCAGCAAGTTTGGGACCATGATGCCAGCAAGTTTGGGACCACATGCCAGCAAGCTTGGGACCATCATGCCAGCATGCTTGGGACCACCATGCCAGCAAGCTTGGGACCACCATGCCAGCAAGTTTAGGACCATGATGCCAGCCGATTGGGACCACATGCCAGCAAGCTTGGGACCATGATGCCAGCACGCTTGGGACCACATGCCAGCAAGCTTGGGACCATGATGCCAGCAAGCTTGGGACCACCATGCCAGCAAGTTTGGGACCATGATGCCAGCATGCTTGGGACCACATGCCAGCAAGTTTGGGACCATGATGCCAGCATGCTTGGGACCACATGCCAGCAAGTTTGGGACCATGATGCCAGCAAGCTTGGGACCACATGCCAGCAAGTTTGGGACCATGATGCCAGCAAGCTTTGGACCACCATGCCAGCAAGCTTGTGACTACCATGCCAGCAAACTTTGGACCACCATGCCAGCAATCTTGGGACCACTATGCCAGCAATCTTGGGACCACCATGCAAGGGACCACCATGCCAGCAAGCTTGGGACCACCATGCAAGGGACCACCATGCCAGCAAGCTTATAGTGACAAAATGATTACCCTTAACCCGAGACAACAGTAATGTGAGTGGTATATGTGGGGTGGCCACCTTCTGAGGATGGGGGTTCGCTCTCAGGGCGGGGCGGATGTAGTTGGCCTTGGTATTGTCGGCTGTCTGAGATTCCAGCGCCAACTTCCACTGCCCGTGTTCACGCTCCGTGGGACAGCGCACCATCAGGAACTTGCCTCTCTGTATCAGGAAAACAGAAGTGTTACTGTATCATCTTAACATTTGTGAGGAATTAACCTTTTGCCAACTATTTATCTTTGCAAAATACAATTTAGAATTATTTAAAAAACAATTATGATCAGTATCATTGAATGAAGTCATAATTGTCATAATCAATCAATGAAATTGAAAAAAATTAAATACATGATATCTTTGATACACTTTTTCCGATTGACAAAGAAATTTACATTTCACGAATTCTCATCATAAAATAATGTTAACAGGTTATTCAATATTTAATCATCAAACAACAAACTGATTCTTCAATCAATTAAAAAAAAATTCTGATCCGTAACAAAGAAAGGTGATTAAATGTGTAACCTTCAAGCAATCACATTAAAATACACTACTCAAAAGAAGTTTAAGAACACCAACTGTTTTTACATATTTCTATAGTTAATAAAAAAAATGGGACTTCCTTACTTCTTTTGAGTTTGTTTGTTGTTTAACGCTGTACTCAGCAATATTCCAGCTAAATGATGGCGGTCTGTAAATAATCAAGTCTGGACCAGACAAGCCAGTGATTGACATCATGACCATCAATTTACGCAATTGGGATACGATGATATGCATCAACCAAGTCAGCGAGCCTGACCACCCAATCCCGTTAGTTGCCTTTTACGACAAGCATAGTCGCCTTTTACGTCAAGCATGGGTTGCTGAAGTCCTATTCTACCCCGGATCTTCACGGGTTACATCTTTTGTGTAGTGTAGATTATCAAACCTAGCACCTACTCCATCATCGATCCCGAGGATTCTGTTGCTCATGTCGTCTATCCGACCCCCCATCAGCTGGACGGTGTCGCTCGGCTTGTCCCGGTTACTGGACTGTGGGAACAACATGAAACAGGTAACAGGCAGCTCGGGTGGTATACTCCCCAGGGAGCTGAGAATGCTGAGAAATGTACACTGATCCGTTGACCAGAGTAATATCTGTATATCTCATGTACATTTGTTTTGTGACATTGGTGCTATACATTATAATTTTGTGCTATACAAATTGTACAAACTTGTATAACACACTGAGACATTATTTCCTATATTTTAAGAGTGAGAGAGTTAGTATGGTTTTACGCTGCTTTTTGCAATATTCCAGCAATATCATGGCGGGGTACACCGGAAATGGGCTTCACACATTGTACCCATGAGGGGAATCGAACCCGGGCCTTCAGCATGACGAGCGAACACTTTAACCGCTAGGCTACCCGACCACCCCTACATTTTCAGAGGAACAGTAGATCATTCCGAAACCTGTTAGGATTAAGACAGAAAAAGTGCTTTTTGAACATTTGTTGACGCAAAACGAGCCTATTTGTCAAGTTTCAATTACAACTAGCAGCATTTGTCCTCAACCCCAGTTGATGTCACTCCTACCTCATAGTAGTACAGCCAGCCATCAACAGCCTTGAAGAACCTCCTCTTCCACGTCTTCAGCAGCGTCGACTTCTTCTTGTTCATGGGCAACTTCTCCATGTAGCCCTCCATGGCGATGAACTGGTGAGAGATGTCCTCGGCATTCTGCAATACAATTATGAAAGGAATCAGCAGTGAATGTCTTTGGTTGGTTGGTTGGTTGGTTGGTTGGTTGGTTGTTGAACGCCACACTCAGCAATATTCCAGCTATATGACGGCGCTCTGTAAATAATCGAGTTTGGACCAGCCAATCCAGTGATTGATATCATGAGCATCAATCCACACATTTGGGATCGATGACATGCATCAACCAAGTCAGCGAGTCTGACCACCCGATCCCGTTAGTCGCCTTTTAAGACAAGCATAGTCACCTTTTACGGCAAGCATGGGTTGCTGAAGACCTATTCTACCCCGGAATCTTCACGGGTCGAATGTCTTTGGTTGTGGAGTACATTTATTGTACACAGAAATGAGGCACTTCCCCCCCACATATACTTTAGATTATCTCCCCTTGACCATTGCAAATCTGTGAAGTGAACTGGTACGCTATGAGAGGATCCTCTTTTTGTGTTTGATTTATGAAATATTATGTCTATTTTCATCTGTTAACACAAACATTGATACATGTAAAAAATCTCATTAGATATATATATATAGAGTCATAAATATCTCTTAATAGTAACATAAATTGTATAGAAAACTGGAATATGTTAGAATATCTCTTAGAACTAAAATAGATACTAAAACTAAAATTAATAATAATATTTTGAAATTGATATATAGGTATATAATGGCTACAAAACTCTTATTTGAAATATGACTTCGTTTAATAACTTCTAATCAGAAATTCAATTTAAATTTTGTCAGCAACAGTGAGTGAGTTGCAGCAATATTTCAGCAATACCAAGCTGGTTGCCAGGCAGGGTGACAACAAGTACCATTTCTTAACGTCTTTTTAGGTATGATGAGGCTGAGGATCCAACCACCGACCTTCCACTCTCCAGGCAGACAATCTATCCACTTGGCCACAGAGGCAGTCATTCAACAATAATTTAAAACAAGTTAAATCCACAATGCCACACCAGACAAGTTGTGTAACTGAACAAGCCTAATACCCATGGTCTACTCACATCTTCCATCAGCCGGACCGAATACACCTCCTTCAACAACAGACTCTGTGAACAGAAAGACCACAGTATAAACATCTCCCTCAAACACAAACATGGACAACATACTGATATTCTGGTGCAGAGTTGGTTGGTTGGTTTGTTGTTTAACGCCGCACTCAGCAATATTCCAGCTATATGATGGCGGTCTGTAATTAATCGAGTCTGGACCAGACAATCCAATGATTGATATCATGAGCATTGATCCACACAATTGGGATTGATGACATGCATCAACCAAGTCAGCAAGCCTGACCACCCGATCCCGTTAGTCGCCTTTAACAACAAGCATAGTCACATTTTACGGCAAGCATGGGTTGCTGAAGACCTATTCTACCCCGGAATCTTCAAGGGTCGAGAGTGAAATATATTTTATAGCTATAACTTGCTACAAACAAAAAGCAATATCATCCCAGCTGATCAACATCAATCTATGTCTGTACTCTACATGAGTCTGATAGTACATGCATTTCAAAGTCAACTCATTTAGATATTATGTTAATCAATCTTAATCTAGCATGCAGGGCAAAGTACATAATCATAATATCAAGAACCCAATAAATTACTCATATTACCGTATTCGTTGTATTAAGTGCCCCGGACAAAATTCTAGACCAATCTGTATAAACATCTCATTCGTACACAAACATGGACAACATACTGATATTTTGGTGCAGAGAGTGAAATATATTTTATAGCTATAACTTGCTACAAACAAAAAGCAGTGACCAATATCATCACAGCTGATCAACATCTATCTATGTCTGTACTCTACAGGGGGCACGGGTGGCCCAGTTGTCTAAGGCGCCGCGATTCGCTGTTCAGAGTTGCGTCCCTTGGACACGCCAGAAACCTATGATTGAGGGTTCGAATCCCAGTTCGCCCCGATTATGTTTCTAGGTTTGTCAGCACCATACCCGTGCTCGTGGGTTTCACAGAAGTGGTAAACGTCTGAGACCTGCATCACTTCGGGCTTTCCTCCCACATTAAGCTGACACGCCACGATATAACTGGAATACTGTTAAAAGCGGCGTTAAACCCAACTCACTCACTCACTCACTCTGTACTCTACATGAGTCAGTACATGCATTTCAAAGTCAACTCATTTTGATATTATGTTAATCAATCTTAATCTAGCATGCAGGGCAAAGTACATAATCATTCAATCAAGAACCCAATAAATTACTCATATTACCATATTCGTTGTATTAAGTGCCCTGCTCCAATAAGTGCCCCTGACAAAATTCTAGACCAATCTGTATGTAATCTTCATCTGCTTCCCTGACTGACACTGACAATTTGCATGACAGTCCATATTGTTGTGTTAATGTTACAGAAAACAGTAGCATAGAAGGGGTACTGGTATATAACTGTATTGTAACAATAACTGAAAACATTCGAGTCTCATCAACACATGAGTTTGTTCACTACCGCTAAATCTCTGAAAACAAATTTAACTTTTCCAAGCGCCCCCTTAGTCAAGTTTCTAAGAACCTTGGATGCTTATTACAGCAAATACAGTAAAAGTTTTATAATTTTATGACGATTAAAGGAATGTGTTTAGTGAGTGAGTGAGTATGGTTTTACGCCGCTTTTAGCAATATTCCAGCAATATCACGGCTGGGGACACCAGAAATGGGCTTCACACATTGTACCCATGTCGGGAATCGGACCCGGGTCTTCGGCATGATGAGCGAACGCTTTAACCAGTAGGCTAACCCACCGCCCCAGGAATGTGTTTATGTTTCATGTAGAACAGTGTACAGTTTCAGTCAATCAAGTACCAATTAAATTATTTATATTAATAACTTTATGTTGACTTAAGGGTGCGTTCATGTTTCATGCAGGATAGGGTACAGAATCCTTAAATCAAAGAGCCATCCATCAGTCAACTTTAAACATAAGCCAGAACTGAAGAAGACGTAGTGTTCTCACCGGGTCCCAGTTGCGGAGGTTGATCCTGGGCGTGACCTCGTCGTCGTCCTGGTCGACCAGCTTGACCCTGGCGCTGGGGTCTGTGGGGGGTGCTGCTACCGGGGGACCTGACAGATCAATGAGGTCACAACTTTATCAATTCACAAAAACAGGGAGAGACAATGTGTACAGAAGTTACTTCAACCGTGTTTGTTTGTTTGTTTGTTTGTTGGTTAGCACCGCATTCAGCAATATGACAGCAGCCAGAAAATATCTAAATCTGGACCAGACACTTCCCTCTCAAAAACAGTGTCTTCCAATTTACAATGTCATCAAGTTGTGAGCTCATGTTCGAATCTCCAGAAATGACATCCAGAAATGACATCATGGTAGAGCATCCGCTCAGAGAGCGGAAGGTCCAGGGTTCGATCCCCGACCGCGTCATACCAAAAGACGTTAAAAGATGGTACTTGTTGTTACCCTGTCTGGCGCTCGGCATTAAGGGGCTAAAACAAGGACTGGTCGGCTCGGAGTCAGTATACTGTGTCTGAGAGGGGTATTCATGCTAAACTGCGGCATGGTATCTCAGTGAACTAGCACTATAATTCGGCATCAGTCTGGACTAGTACAAGCAGCCACACCCACACCCACGTACACATACATGCACGTCGCTATATAAGTGCAATAATGTTGGACACGATGTGAAACCCCATTTCACCTCACCTCACCTTTGTGATTTATCACGTAGATATCTTATATATGACATTAGTACTTCAAGGGCCTCAGCAGACTGTTCCCTTAATTCAACATGATTATTATAATTTGATTATTATTACAACCGATGTTGGTACCTGGTGCCTGGCTGGGTTGTCTCCCCTTGTCCAGCAGGTTCTGGGAGTCGGGCCGGGATCTCCGGGCTGGTTTTTCCGGAGGTCCCTGAGATCCTCCACTCTTGACGACCACGGGCACGGATTTGGTGGAGGCATTGCCGTCACTCGGAACACCTAGTGAAGACAACAACACAACTTGAAAAACCTGCTCTACAAATATCAATGCTGCCATATATAGTTCTAGTTTGATCACAACCAATAGATAGCAATATCAAGGCGGAGAACACCAGAAATGGGCTTCACACATTGTACCCATGTTGGGAATCGAACCCAGTTCATCGGCCTGACGAGCAAACGCTTTAACCACTAGGCTACCCCGACCGTCCCACAAAACCAATGACCTGTATTGTGAGAGTGGATGTAAATTCATGCCATTGTCTATCCGTGAAGATCCGGGCTAGAATAGGTCTTCAGCAACCCATGCTTGCTGTAAAAGGTAACTATGCTTGACATAAAAGACAACAAAGGGGATCGGTTTGTCAGGCTCGCTGACTTAGTTGATGCATGTCATCGCATCCCAATTTTGTATATTGATGCTCATGATGTCAATCACTGGACTGTGGTCCAGACTTGATTATTTATAGACCACCGTCATATAGCTGGAATACTGCCGAGTGCAACGTTAAACAACAAACAAAAGACAAGCACATTCTCATGATTGGGATTGGGATTGGGATTGGGATTTGCAATAATTAGGAGCTGGGAATCTAGTGCTCTGGGCAGTTAGTGAGGTGAGACGATGTAAGATGGGGTTTAATGATATTTTCAAGATTATTGCGGGGCGGGGGCACGGGTGGCCCAGTCGTCTAAGGCGCCGCAATTCGCTGTGCAGAATTGCGTCCCTTGGGCACGCCAGAAACCTAAGATTGTGGGTTCGAATCCCGGTTCGACCCAATTATGTTTCTAGGTTTGTCAGCACCATACCCGTGCTCGTGGGTTTCCCCGAAGTGGTAAACGTCTGAGACCTGCATCACTTCGGGCTTTCCTCCCACATTAAGCTGACACGCTGCGATATAACTGGAATACTGTTAAAAGCGGCGTTAAACCCAACTCACTCACTCAAGATTATTGCATTGACATAGTGACATGCATGCACATGTGTGTGTGGCTGCTTGTTCTAGTCCGGACTAATCCCAATTTTATACCGCTAAGCCAACTGAGATACCATGCCATGGTTTGACATGGATACCCAACTCAGACACAGTGTACTGACAGTCAATGTTTTATTCCCTTAATGTCAAGCGCCAGACAAGGTAACAACAAGAACCATCTTTTAACGTCTTTTGGTATGACACGGCCAGGGATTGAACCACCGACCTTCCGCTCTAACGGCAGACACTTCCACTATATGGGCAGTCTCGGCTGTTGGTCTAGCCACCATGTGCACTCATCCTGCATTCGTGTTATAAGTAAATTCCTGATTTGTTTCATTTTGTCTAAGTTTCATTTGTAGATTGTTCGTAGATCTGTGCATCCAAAAATGTCAGAATCCATCATTTGTTGCTGTTCATGGTATAAACTGAAACACTTAGAAAATGCATACCGTATTCGACGTAATATGCACCCACTCTAAAAAGCGCCCACGGCGATATTTGCTTATATATTGGCCAGTGAACAATACCAATTAGCACCCCTTCCGATTGATCAATGTACACAACACTTATTTATTCGCGTATAATACGTACTCGTGTGTTATATGCACCCTTAATTATGGGCATTAAAATTTTGAAAAATATATCTGTCGTGTATATACATTTTCAGGCTGTCAGCATAAACCACAAAATTTATCTTTCAACTCTGTCTTTTGCAATAAAATAATATTCTAAAAGAGCCCCCTATTTCTAATTTTGAGAGCACCCTGGGCGCTTATTACGTCGAATACAGTAGTTGATTTTGACTTTTGATACGTAACAAGCGGCTTTTAGCTTACATCCAGGTATGACAACTTGAACGAGGATTCAACCTCACAACATTATCACAATGTTGCATTCTTCAGGCCTCACTACCACAAACAAATTTCTTTGTTTTCTGCACATTCCCTAAAAATAATTTCTCAAATTCCACTTCCAGTGTCAGAAAATGTTAAAGGAACAATCTGAAAAACAGACACTCTTTTAAACAGAAAATACTGCTCTGAAGAAGGGTGTATGTTTCATATTCACAGGTTACGACTCAAGAATTTATATGTACAATACAATGTATAATCCTTTAAAACTAGGTCACCATCAGCAAACGCCTCTCATGTTAATTCATGCATCGCTTGGGCAACAAATTTGTTCCCTAACCATTGGGTCAGTGGTCAAAATCAAAATCAAAAACATGTTTTGCAATTTCTGAAAGTGGAGATCATTTGAAAAAACAGAAATCATAAACATTGTTGCTTTTCTAATTTAAAGTTTATTATACCGCCCACATAAACCTATTCTGAATTTATTTCATCACTGAAATCAGTTAAGTTACATGACAGAAGAAAAACAAGTCTTCTATAAAATAAATATTTTTTCACATTTGTAAAATTTGGATTTGAAGATCAATAAACAAAATTATCATAAATAAAAACTTATCTAATCAGTAACTAAATTATCATTACTGATACACGTCTTTCTATGTCAGTACACGTTTTCAACTGCAAATGGTTCACAAGCTAATTACAACAAGTGGTACAAAATTCAAGAACAATGACACATGCCTCGACCCTGGCAACACTATTCATGCTCAGCAGCATCAACCAATACGGGATGACTCAACACAAAGACACGACACCTCAAACATTAATCATTAATCTCATGTCAATCAGTCAATATGTAATTATCAGTCAACAAGACAGGACAGTATTCAGGCCAATATTTCTCTAATCCCTATCGATTCCATGTAGCAGTTCTGTGTATTACACGAGCAAGTCCCGCTATTTACAATCTAGCCCGTCCTCTGAACCGAACCAACAACAACCCATTTACAATCTCGTATTGATCCGACTGGTCAATAACAACACGCGGCTGTCCCATCCCCAACAATTTGCATGTTGCTGATGAGGGTGGGGGTTTGTGTTGGCGAACTGATATGCAATTATCAATGCAGGAAATATGTCTGAGAATCAATGATCCCCAGTTGCTGCATAATCCAGACCCATCTCATGTTACCCTGTCGGACACTGAAACCAGCCTGTTATTTAATGTCTTTTGACATCTTGATAATCTGATTCTACTTGGTATTATGAGAATTAATCAATCCGGAAATAGCTTTATTCCAAACAAAGGACAATCATCCATCTCCATCTCTACTGCAGTATTGTAGACGGTCATAACCAATGGCTTTAATGATTTTCTTTCTTTTTTCTGTTTCTCAGGTATCGTGAAGAGAACTAAGATGTGTTGTTGCCGATTGAATTTCACGAACAGCCATGTGTTGTATTTCTGGGTTCGGTTAATTGCCTTTCAGACACAAAAATACATCTCTGCTCGTAGCAATCACAAAAGGTACACCAGTAAACATACACACATCCTTTGTTCCAGTGTTATAGTAAGATCAGGAAGAAGTTAAAGAACTCTTGATTTTTCATGAGTTAATCTGTCATGTCTTTGAGTTGAATAATAAGAAACCCAAAACAAAGATCGTATTTTTGAAACCATTAATACTTCATTATTTAGTCTATTATTCTGTGTCTATTAATCAATCTTCCTCAGAAGATTTCAGAAAGTACATTAATACTTCAGCTATATTTCTAAGTACATCCCTTAATTGTTCACTACCTTGTAACAAGAACCTATGACTCACTAATGTGGCCACAGGGTCCTCTTGCACAAAGCGATCTTAGCGCTACGGTCTCCGCTTCACACAGAAGTCAAGTCTGAACACTCTTGTGTCTTGGAAGGTCAGGGTCATTGTAAATGATACAGTATGTCATTGTCTTCTACTTCATGATGCTAATACTATCCACCATTGGTTTGCCTGCTCCTCGCAAGAACCACTAATTCATTGATGCTGCCAAGATATACTTTTCCCCCCCGATTAAAACCATTTGATATTCGGGGATGGGGGTGTCAGGGAGGGCTGTGGTGCTGGGATTTTGTATGGGGACTAAAAACCAAGTATATTATAAAAGTATCAATCTAAATATTTTCTATTAAAAAAATCTGGCAACAACTTATTTCTTGTGCGAGGCAATTTCTTTCTTTTTTTTTCAACAGCTTGAAGCATAGTTAACTTTTTTCAAGAATTTTCTGCTACAATTTATCCCAATTTATTATGCGATTTTGTATGGAGACTGCAGCTAAAGCTGCAAAACCAGATAATTTTATTCATTAGAGTATCAGTCTAAATATTTGTTATTATTTTTTGAAAACATCTTGCAACAATGTATTTTTTGTGCCAGGCAATTTCTTTCTGTTTTTCAACAGTCTGAAGCATAATTATTTTTTTCAAGAACGTTCATCGACAATTAATTTTTTCGGATAACATCCCAGGCTATGAAAATCTGATGACAAATTTCAGTTCTTTTGAAGGAAGAAGCAATAAATTTCATAAACAAGTGTCTTATCTTTGTAAAATGATATAAATGTTGATCGTGCATGTTCACTTGACTACAGCACAGAGTGTTCTTTTGAAGGAAGAAGCAATAAATTTCATAAACAAGTGTCTTATCTTTGTAAAATGATATAAATGTTGATCGTGCATGTTCATTTGACTACAGCACAGAGTGAAAACAAATATTTCATTGAACACTACTTTTTGTTGTTAATTCTGGACATTTCTTGGCGGATTTCTTCGCGCTATTATTAGAAGCAGGCCCTGTATTGATTCTCTGCGCTGTCACACAAAGTCCGACACATAATCACCCTGAGGGCCAAGAGCTATAAAAAACTTGTACGATCGAAGATTTTAAGTAGGATGACGATGGTATCAATAATACCTGATTGAGCTTGGGACTGAAACAAAGTCCTATATAGTTAAGATTTACAAATCCTAACAGAAGGGACTTAATTTCCAAGATGATGATGAGGTGGAGAATAATTGAGTGAGTGAGTGAGTGAGTGAGTGAGTGAGTGAGTGAGTGAGTGAGAGTGAGTGAGTGAGTAACGCTGCATTCAGCAGTATTCCATCTATATGACGGCGGT